GCCCCCCCACACCGCCACCTCCCCCTATACAATTCCTTCCAGCTGGACTGCCGACAACCGCCACCCCACAAAGGGATGGACAATGGCACGAAATTACATACAAGAGAACCACACATTTCCAAATTTCCACTTGCAATGATTGGATATCCGCATTTACATGACAATTCGCAATGAACACAACCACGGGATCAACATCAACGACTGTGTGAGGGTAACGACGATACGAACAACAGCATTCCGTAAATGGACGGTATTGAAGTCAACACCTTTATTACACCTCTGCATTTCATTCACGGAGAGGACAGCAAAACTCATGCTCGTGGGGGGAGAGAGAGAGAGAGAGAAAGAGAGGGAGGGAGGGAGAGAGAGAGAGAGAGAGAGAGAGAGAGAGAGACCAAAACAGAGAGACAGAGGGAGGGAGACAAGTACATACATAGAAAAAGCAAATCGAAGTCGTCGTTTAAAAAAGGGAAGTGCATACTGCACTTCATCGTCGCCAATACAAATTCAGAGGTGAAGGAACAATCCGTCCCGGCAAAAGGCAGTGGCCTACAAGTAACCCGAAAAAGAATTAAAAAAAACAAAACACAACATACGCCAATGTGACTGGTGGAGTCATCCACCCAATCGGACCACCACCCACTTCCGTGGCCAGCACGGCCAATCAGGAACTGCCACGTTCGCGACAGGCAGGCGACGGGTATACCGACGACAGAAAGGCTCTGACTTTCGCGTCTTGCGGACAATGGAAGCGACGAGGCGCACAACAGAGGTTGCACGAGCTTTAACGCTCACGGATGGCCTTCGCTATCTCCAAAAGAGCGTGACACATCGGTTTGCTAACTTCGTCAGACGCCACGTAGTGTTTTTTTTGAACTTCCACCTCTGCTTCCAACGACTCGCATTGTCGGTTTTGGATGGAGCATTGCCGCTTGTTGTTGCTCTCCATCGTCGACGCCAACAGAGCCCCGTGCTTCTCCATGCAATCCGTCAGCGCTTCGAATGTTTGTTGCGTCGTGCTCTTCCGCTTGTCGAAACCGGCATGGCTTCCCGTCGTCTGAGAAGAACCTCTCATCGACCCGTCCTCGTCGTCGTCGTGCCCTGCAGCAGTGTCCCCATCGCCCACAGATTCAGGATCCACAGAAGTGGCGGACGGCAGACGCACACCACCCGGAGCACCAATGTCGGTGACGTTCTTGAGGTTTATGGTGTGGCTCTTCGCGGTCGACCCCAGGATCTCGTCGTAAACTGCACGATCCATGTTGAAATTGAAGCCCTTCGACAACCTCTCTTTCCCGGAGAATTGGAAGAAGTTATGCTTCCTTGACAAGCCTTGGAAGTGATGCAACTTCTTGACCTGCTGCATCAAATTCTCCCACTTCTTCCCGCACCGTTCGGCTTCTCTGTCGACGCCCACCTTCTTTAACCTCTGCTCCACATCCAACCACTTCCATTCTCGCGGCTTCATACGAGCGTACGCGGTACTCATCCCATGCAGATGCGCGTCCTAGTCACGTTTAGCCCAGATGAGGGCTATCATGTCGTCCACGGACCAGAACTGACGACCTCTTTCCACATCACCGTCAGCTTCGGCATCGCTCCCCTTCCCCGCCGCTTTTTTCCCCCGACGACCATTGCGAGCACACGCCCTCGTCTTCCTGCCCCTCCCTCCCATGCTGCTCTGCTTCAACGCTGGTACATGGTTTGCGTCGTCCTCCCCACCTTCGCCGTCGTCATCGTTCCACTCCTGATCGTCCACGCCCACCGCAGGTGCGTCGAAGTCGTTTTCACGCTCCCCCACACGCAGTCGCTGCACCCCCCGAGTTATGGATTCCTCCCGCCGTGGATGAAGCGCCCGTCGGTGTTCTGCCCACACCTCCCTCCCGTCGCATGCATCACCAACATCATCGATGCCACAATCCGTCTCCCCGCATTCACGTCCACGACGGGATGCAGTCGAACTCAGTCTGGCGGAAAGGGGAGACGGAGACTGCATCCATGTGGGGCGAGCTGAGGCATCCCTCGACACAGACGGCATCCGGAATTGCTGCCTCGGAGGATCCCCGTTGTTCCCCGACGCCTCCCGGATCGGAGCTGGAGACTTCGATGAACGCGCAACAGTCGTCACCTGCCCGCCCTCGTCGTCGGGATGGTTGTTCACGATCACCGTTTGCGACGCGGCCGACGACCTCCCGCTGCACAACCCGAATGACAGATTCACACCTCCATCGCCTTCGTCGCCACTCAACCCCAGCAATGGACCAGCCGCGTTGAAAATTGTCGTCGACGGAGCTGCCGTCGACGCCCCGATTCTTCCGGATGATCGACCTCCAAGGGACATCGGGAGGTCCCTTGGGGAACGCGTCGAAATGGTTGTGGCCTGAGGAATCCCCAAGGAAATGTTTTCACATTTTTTTTTCGTTTTCTTCCCCGAGGATAAGTGGAATGATGATTTCCTCGGGGATTTTACGCGCCCGAGGAGTGTCAAACTAGCCCCATAGCTGTCCACGAATGGCGAGTCGTGCGATTAGGCCCTAGAACTCCGCATATCTGTGCCCTTGTGCCTCACTAGGATTCTCCCAGATCAACCCAGGTCCGCGCAGGAAAAAAAGAAAGAAAAGAGCCCTGTATGTGGTGCTACGGCCGGACTTGTCTTCTTCTTCTTCTCTTTTTTTTTCAATTAGCCTCGGGTACCGGGCCCCGGCTGGATCCCATTTGTACTCGGTTTTCATTTCCGGTCAACCTGTCGTCGGGACATCCGTTAAAACCACCAGTACTTGGGCACTGCGCGCCGCGCCGGCCGCACCTTTTTTGAAGCGGCACGGGCTGTTGATACGATTTATGGACGGCCCGCCGGTAGCGAAATTCTCGTAGCGTTAAAGCTAAGGCGTCGCCCAAGTACTGGTGGTTTAAAATTGGAACGATACAGAGAAGATTAGCATGGCCCCTGCGCAAGGATGACACGCATTTCCGGTCAACCATCTTCAGAATAGACGGCCAAAAATGAGAGCGTGCCAAGGGCGACATGATGTAAGCCCCTCGACTGCTTGGTAACGAAAGAGAGACAAATTTAGGGTCTCGCCACACCACTCTCGAAATGTGAAAAAGACAAAAATGTAGCCGGCGCATCTGGCCATGTTCTACCGGTAAGTTCATTCTCATTTTGCACATCGGTGTGGCGAGGCGCTTATCTGGGAAGGTTGCGGAAACGTACGTCAAGTTTTGCACAAACCGGACACGCTGGCGTGTACAGCGTACGGAGGAAGCCTCGACCATCACGCTAACATTTGCAGAGCTCCAACCTCGACACACAATCTGTTTATCGTCTGACGGACGTGCTGACGCACGCGCTGTGTTCATTTATTTATTTTTTCTTTTCGAGACTTTGTGTTCATTTTTTTATTTTTTTTTTGAAAAACTTTGTGTTCATTTCGAACCGTCGTTTCGGCAAGGCGGACGCGGGCGAGGGGTGTACAAGATGGTCGTACACTTGTCCGCGTTAGACGCGGAAGATGGCCGCCCGGCTGAGCCAGCATGGGCCTCGCCACACCACTGTTGAAACGAAAAAAGCACTAGTGCAAACTGGTGCTATTCACAGGAACGGATGCATCTTGCCACTTTCTGTGGGAACATGCATTTGAACGTTTTTGGTTTCAACAGTCGTGTGAGGAAGCCTGTAGGCTTGGAGACTCGTTCCATTTGACCTAGGATCCAATCTCACACCTTCTTCTTTTTTTTTTTGATATCTCACACCTTTCGATTACTTCACACGTGCCGGGCCGATCATGTTCTAGTCTGGGTTCATTGTCGGGGTATACTAACAACAGGACTGTTTTACTCATCTCTGGGCGCGGTTGCGCCCAAATACATCCCAAAGTGGGCGTCGATGGGGTCAGATACATTTAGGACACTCAGACCTTTTTTGACACTTTTGCCCTTTCCTCGAACCCTCCAACGCCTTTTTTTTGTATTTCAAATTACGGGCCCAGTGCCCAAGGGCCTTGCGTGTCATCCGTGCGCAGGGGCCACGCTAATCTTCTCTGTGTCGCCCCTATTTGAACGGATCTCCCGATGGACACCCTTCGTAGATTCGTGCCTGGCCACACTCCTAAGGATCAAGTGTAGTATCTGTCCTGATCAGATCCGTGGTCCATTGGACCACACGAGAAAAAAGAACCCTAAAAAAAAAAAAAAAAAAAAAAAAAGGTGCTCAGGAGGTTGTGGGTTCGTGCGGCATACTGAGGGCCTCGCCACACAATCTTCGAAACGAAGTACGAACGAACGTATCCCCCACAAAGCTGTAACATGCATCGGTTGCTATTCATAGTCAAGGAGGCATTTTGCCATTCTCTAGGGGAAGATGCACTCGTGCTTTTTTCTTTTAGACAGTGGTGTGGGGAGGCCCTTAGTGCCAACCAGTGGTGATAGTCCTATTGATACCTCTGATCGGTATTAGCAGGGTCCTTCGCCAAAGAGGGTGTGAGTGCGAATGTGAGGGCGTACTCACATGGCTACCCCATCTGCAAAATATGCGGATTTGCGAAATGCCTATTTGAGGTTTTTATTTGAGGTTTTGGGCACTGTTCACATCACACTGTTGTACCTTTTCAGACGGGACAAGGTCGCTGCCTTCTGGAGAAATGGGGATTTGGTAGTACTTTGGTCACACGGTGCCATCCACAAATTGTGCAAGAACTTTTGTGAACGAATTTTTGCCAATTTTTGAAGAAAATGTGAAAAATGAAATAGGGCATTTGCGGTCAACTCCAGAGGGGACCGCATTATCCCTCGCCCTGTGACTTCCCAGGCCACTGACAAATGGGCACAGGAGTAATGCGTTTGCGAATTTGGTAGATCCGTGTGACCGGCCTTTTCCCTTTTTTTCTGGGATCTTGGGAATATAGGTCCTCGTGTGAGTATGCCCTGAGTGGGTTGTATGTGGGAGAGTGTTGGCCTTAGGGTCTGATCTCACACTACTTACCGTACGTAAAAAGTGATGTTTTTCCGCGAACGAAGGCCGCTGTTGAGCGCATCAGTCCCACACAGGGCAGGACCCTCCCGCCCGTGTCACGCAAGAGTTGGTCTACTCGCGATACACAAGGAGCTTCTGCAAGCCATTCCGGCCGAGTGCGCCAGCCATACCTCTTGCGAGCCCCTACGACAGGATAGGGCCAACGCGAGGTACAACTTACCTCCACCTGCGGCAGCTCTAACCTCCCTTCAGTGGGTGTATCCCGCTGAGCTACTTGTCCACAGTACAAAAGCTAATCAGTTGCAATCGCAGAGGTGGACCAGCCGAGAGCGTTTCTCGTACGCTGTAGCATAGAGGGTACGCGCGGTCGCACGCCTCTATCGGACCCACACGCGAACCAACACACTGGGGGGCCGAAGTCCCAAGCACGACTCCTCGTCGGTCGACTAGGATGCATGCCGCTCACCACGCATTACACTGCACTTGAGACATAAAAGTATATAAAACACACACACACGCACAAGACGACACAAAATAAAACAGCACAACAACACTCCTAGTCTCTTTTTGTAGTCATCCCATAACCTTCCAATGCAGAAAAATCGAATAGGCGACACTCGCTAGACTTAAATTAAAAATATAAAACCGAGTGAACGCGAGACCTTCTCATATTGACTAGCAATTCATGCTTACCGAAGCAGTCGCAACGATGACGTACTTTGTAGTACCCATAATCACGCGATCCTCGATAATCTCGAGGGTTACGCACTCAAGTGTCGGCTGACACGCGCCTTGGGGGGTTAATCTCTCGACGTTGGACAACCGCCAAGTGTGGTTGAGAACAACACCCTCTTCTACATCCTGTGGAGAGTGGGTGGTACACAAGTTCATACTTGTGGTGACAATCGTCTCTTATTGCTGAGAAGACCATTTTCGTCATCCAGGGCCTGGAGAGAACTCGATGGGTTTGACTTCGATGGCTGTCACGGACTACAATGTCCAACTATAAAACTCAAAAAAACAAAGGATAAAATGATTTTTTTTTTTTTTCTCAACACATAGTCTGTCTAACCCTTGCGCACGGTCACAATAGGTCACGTGAACACTCAATGTGTACGTATGTATATATATAAAGGGTTATAAATTTGTGACGATCACTTCTCACAATCACAGCAAGACTCCTCTCAACCATATATATGTGTGTAATCGTAGGCAGTCAAATCCAAACTCCGAACCACAAACATATCTACAATCACATCAAAGATTCAATAAAAAATTCACACACTATACGGGGTCAACTTCAACTATTCTGTATACTCGTACCCCTTGCTTTAGCTATGCAAGCCTCAACCTTTACCCAACCTTTCAAAATAAATACTCAACAATTTTGTTAAATGACCATTCTATAAAAGTCTGAGTGAAAAACTTAATAAAACGAAATAAAATCATTAGGGTTAAAGTTTTTTGGTCGGGTAACGAGAGTGGATTGGAGTTGAGTCGTAAACCGATGAATCAGCAGCCGACCTTTTATCAGTGATAACAGATGATGATCCTTGTGGGATCGAGTTCCATCTATCACAAATTATGAATCGAACGTCCAAAGAAAACATGTATCATAAGACATAGCAATGTCGAAACTAAATTATCAGTGTATGGGGAATGAATCCCCATAGCACATTCTTACTCAAGCTATCGTCAAACTACGCCTAAGTCTATCCCTTGACCTCTGTCTAAAGAAAAATGTAGATCTTTGACAGAATCTCTCACATACTGAGTGAATTACCAGAATCGTCACCTGTCACAATATAATCTATCTCCTTTAAACTAATAAAATTTTAACAGCGCTTCCCGTAAGAATTTTTTTTTTCGAAATTTAAACTAAACCGAAATATGAAAAACTGAAATAATGCTCAACTCTAAAAACTCAAATTTTGTCTAACTCCCTAAACAAGTAAAAGTTTGGGCAGCATCTACTTTAGAAAAGCAGATTACCCAGATTTATATTGACTCAAATATGAACTCAAACAAAAAACTTGAGTTTTATCAAGACAAAATTTAACTAACTTCTTAGATTTGTAAAAAATTCGTCAACGCTTCTCGTAGACAAAATAGATTTTCCAACTTTATACAAACTTAAGTACAAAATTTAGAAATAGCTTTGACTTCTCTAAGTCCAATTTTGTCAAACTCTCTAAATTAGCAAAAAATTAGGCAGCATTCACCTTTACAAAATGAGACTTTCCAGATTTTTACTTAGCCATATATAAAATTTAGATAAGTTGAACTTGAAAAAGTCAAAATCTAGTTAACTCCTTGGTTTTGTAAGACTTTTGGAGCGCTTCCCGTAGGAAAAGTAGCTTACCAAGATTTATACAAGACCAAGTACAATCGAAAATCCTAGAAAAATGCGACAATTCACCTATAAAAAAAAAATTAGCTTATAAAATGCAGAAATCGAAACCAACTCCTATAGCTCTAGCACGTGACGAGCATCAAAAGCAACTGCCTTTCAAAATGAAACTTGAACCATGTAGTGATCTCACTCAACCACATTC